CATTACTATTAACAACGTAATTAAACCAAAAGATACATGCTATTTTACAAGAAGTAGGCATGTTGATAAATAAAGTGTTAATGATACTTTTTTGTAGTTCCAAAGGGAGAATGTGAAAATGTGATTACGAAAATGTGTGTCAACGAGAATACTTTTATACAGCAAATGATGAAATACCCTTGTGAGCTCTTTATGGATTATTTTTATACCTTCGAAATTTTCATCGGCAATTCAGATGTAAATGTATTGGAAATTTTCTGAATGAATGTTATTGATATGGAGATGACATTGGATCTAGGGTTGATTCCTGGATTTCGTAATTTTGAGGTTTGCATCTTGTAGAATCGCTAATGTACAGAGTCAATATGTTAACTTTAATAGTTTTAAACAGAAGTAGCACATTGAAGACCAAGAGTTTTAGCAACTTGATCATTAGAATATGCAATAAATCTATAAGCGTCACTCAATTAAACACTCACATCAGAACCAACCAGCAACAAACAATTTAATAATTAACAATGCTTCCATTCCTATCTCTCAATAGCTTAATGAAATCATCGAGAATTTAATAAACTTCCATTTTTATTATTAATTCTATTGATTAGTTTTCAAATTCGGAATTACTTTAATTGCTAATGTCATTTTAATCCCATCAGCTACGTAGTTAGAAGAGAATAGAAATAATCAATGGCTATGAACGTAGGCGGCAGTCAATATATAGTTTGATGAAGTCAATATCAGATTTTTTCATTTATTTTTATAAATGGAAACAAAAGAGGTGCTGCTGTAAAGCACCATTTAACGAGATATTACAATAAAAATTCTCAATTATGGCTAGATTAAAGTTAATTGAAATTATTTATAACTGAAAAGGACATTTTATCATGTTGACGTAAAAGGTGTAAGCACAATGATACACAATGACGTGATTGATTCTAAAAATAAAAATAATTCAGCATCATCGTTGTGTATGACATTATCTCAGTGTAGCACATGAATGATGAGGTAAAGAAAATAATAAAGGAAGGTAATGGAACTAAATTAGATCTCAAAATGATATTAAGAGTTCATTGATTCAGCATCAATCTGATATTTATAAAATAAATTGCAATTCTGCATAACTTTTTAATGTAGTTTAATTGATGCTAAATAATTGATGAATTGAGGTTATGATGAGTTGGTTTACGTAAGTTCAGATGAGAATCGGTTCTCATTGGTAATGGCTCAATGGAGCTATTTAATCAACAAGTTATATAAATTCAATAACTATTTATGGAACAAGAGTAAATGGAAATGAAAATGTATGTAAAGGATACTCAATTGACAGTGAGTTTGGTTGCATTTAAAGTAGCTCCTAGTAACATTACAATGATTTTTGACACAAGAAAAAATAAATTCTAAACATAATAGACAGAACTGTACTTAATAAATTTATAAAAATATGATAATTCAGCGTTCAATGAACAATAAAGATTTCAAATTTGAAATAATTTAACATAATTGGCATTTGACGAAGTTTAACGGTGTTTTGATATTTAAAATTACAGTGGTGAAAATGTTGTGTAGAGTTTTGCAGTAATGAGCCAAGCCAATGTTTACATTTAAATTAATTTTAAAATAATAGAGTTTGTGATAAAAATACGACAGTACTCGGAAGATATAAGAATCATCAATAAGCTTTGAGAAGTATTTTACAAAGCGAAAAGCAGCAGGATATCAGGTGAATTGTTTAAATTAATATAATAACAAGCTGTCGATGCTACTCCACTTAAAATTTCATTAAGTTGAGACCAACAATTCATAAATTTGATTCCTATAAAGGTCAATCCTTCAATAATCACTTTAGAATCTTAATTGGCATCTTTAGTATTCGTACAGCAGAGTTACAAAGAGTCGAACTGAAGCTAATTTCTCTAAAAGATCTAACTCTACATGTCATTAGCTAGCATTTCAAAAACTTCATTCATCAAATGAAAAATACATTCTTATTTTAAGTCTGAAGTTTCACTTCTTAAAATCGCAACCTGATCTCATCATAAGATAAAACTTTTACATTAAACTTTACACCCGCTTTGAATGAATAATCATCTGATAAATGATATTAAAATTTACTGTGCAATAAAACTTATTTAAATTCATTTTCAGCATTAAATTATCTGGCAATAAAGTCTCACTTAAATCCAGAAATGTAATTAGGGTGATTCCAAAATCTTAGATATTTACATAGAATTTATTGGTTAATCCTTAAAAACTTTTGTCACCCTTATATTAAGGATTTTCGGTTTTTTTGGTGACAGCTAGAGCCAAATCCACTCCTGCTTAAATCAGATATATTGTCCCATCTTCATTTGATTCTATTACTAGAGTGTAATTTCTAGAAAAAGTACTTTTAATCTGCCATTCAACTTTTTCATTAAAGCGAATAAAAGCTCATAAAATCTTAATACATATGCTCTCATCCGAAAGAATGAATCGACAAGATAAAGTATATAGTCGATAGACTCAAATTGATGTCATTATTAGCACACACACATACACAGAAAAAGTTTGTCTTGCTCCTTCCTCACACACAGACGGATAAGAAAGAAGGAATTTTTGAGCGACAAGCATAAAAAATATTTTAAAAGTTTTGTATATTCATGGGATGACTTTAGCGCTTCCTTAAAATTTATTGATGAGGAAAAGTTATTGAGGAAGTGAAGATGAAGGTAAAATTTTGTCACGGTGATTATTTTGATCATTTTCGGTTGTTCAAGATGCCGCAAAAGGGTTCGAGTAATTGGATATTATTTGTTAATTTTCACGAGAGTAAATTTGACTGACGATGATGTTGAGCGGTGCCATACGTTTTAAAAGCTGAATGATAAACAAACAAAAATCAATAATGGTCTTGACTCAAAGCTATCTTTAGATACATGTACCCAAATTGAAAGTTTTCAGATCAATGTTTAGGATCAGTGTTGTTTTCAAGGAGTTTGGCTAGACAGCATCAAACTAAGAATTGATCATTTTTGTCAGACTTTATAACTTGGATTAAACAGTAGCTTGGCTTTTGGATCATTTTATTTAAAGAATCTATCATTCTTGGTCTGTCTCTACTTATCAAGATAAAGTCATCATGCTCTTGACATCTTGCTTAACAGCTCTGTTTCTATCTATAAACATAGAACTAAACTCCAAAGACCATTGAGACAAAACACTCCATAAAGTTTCACATCCTCTTTAAAAATTTGACATAAAAACATGGAAAAGTTTAAAACAACACACATACTTATATCATGTCCCAATATTTTGCTAAAAGTAGAAGACAGCTGATAAAAAAAATTCTACGGGAAGTGACAAATTTCTACTACTTTTCTTCTTCCTATCTCGTCGTAAAAGATAGAAAGAGATAATGATAAAAATGAAATGCCAACAACTTGCAACAAGTTTATTGTAGGAAAAGTTTTTTATTGATTCATTCCATATTTATAAAGCTGGTCCTCGTTCTGTCTGGTGACTAATTTCTCTCTCATATTACTTATCGAATTTGCCAGTGCAATAGTAATCCCTCTGTGGCCGAATGGACAAAAGTCCGAATATCTATAACTTTTCCATCTGATAGAACCGGTTGTGAGTTCGATTCCTACTAGAGTATTGCCTACGAAAACAATTACACGTTCATCAGTTATCATATGACTCTAATAATGCTTGCACACATACTTACTTGCACGAACCACATATCATTCAACCTAATAACCCCAGACACTCAAGCACAGCTCATTTCACATTCTCAATAAATTCTCATTTATTAAATGAAAAACAACAGCCCCAATGTGACAATCAACAGTCTTAAAAAACACACTTTCAAACTAAATTAAATATTCGTCAAGTCTTTCATAAAAAATTCAACAGCAAATTGAGCGGCTCTCCAACCAACAAAACAAAAAACAAGAGAAATTACACCCCAAGTGGAATCAATTTCAAATGACTCCCATCTACAATTGCGAATTAAAAATTAATAAGTAAGACAAAAAGCTTTCGTGTTTGAAAAAAAAAAGTTTTCATGCAAGCTGAAAAAAAATAACGCTTAAAAGCTCATTATGACCCAGACGGTAATAACAATAACAATGCAAGAGCGAATGTGCCTCATTGTTGTGACTCCGATGAAAAAAATCTATTGTGGAATCATGTAAAATGATGTACAATTACTAGATGGTAGAAGAGGGGTCGGAACTGTCTGACAAGAGAAAGCTAGTAAGAGTGTAGCTATTAGGAACATTAGTAGTACTATATTCTAAGAAAGATTGATCCTAAAACAATTCCTGACTACGCCTATTAAATCATAAATGCAAAATCTCACCCAAGTTGGTTCCAAAACCCCAAAAAAAACCGAAACATCCCTTAAATTGTGGAATGTGTTTTGAACTTGATCATAGAAGCTTACTAGTCTTGCTACGATATTGAGCGGGGTTCTCTAAGGGAGCACTAATTTCACAAACCCAATTAGAATCAAAACTTCACCCATGCTAATAATATAAGCATCCAAAGTCAACAGTTAGTATAAAAGTCAAATTTTTACAAAGCACGTCACTTACGAACGATCCCTCAAAATCTCAACGAACGATATAAAAATCCAGATAGCACGAAAAGCGCAACAAATGCATTGGAATCGACAATACATTCACATGCCACAACTCCATACATATGTAGTAGAACGTAATGCAACCTGTAGAATAATCCATTCTTAAAAAAGAACATTAAAGAAAAAGGTGTTGCACGTTCGGGTCAGCAACGAAGAAAGAGTAAAGCAACAACAGGTAAAAACACATCAAGAAAAAAACATCACAACATGTAAGCCTACTGCTGTTGTTGCTATAAAAGTAAGTTTTATTTCTTCTTATTCTCTTCTCGTCGCACAAAACAAGAGTTTTAACTTGCAAACACCTCAATGTTTCATTTCCATTCGTTATTGGGCTCCGAGCGGTTGTAAATTCTTTTTATAATTTAATTCGATACAAAAAAATTAAAAAAAAAAACGAACAAAGAAGAAAATAAGAATTAAGATCGATACATAAAAAAAGTAAAGCGAGAGTTATTTATCTTAAAATGTAGAGGAGAAAGAAGAAAAATTGAAATTTAAGGAGAGGATTAAAAGAAATTAATTAGCGAACCGAGTTTATTTATTTGTGGAAGATCAAAGTGGTGTAATTTTTCTTCTTGCGGATGTGCTGTGGTGTCTAGAAGGAATTAAAATATTACATCTTAAGTGTATGAAATGTTTCAACCAGTTTCAATTCATGAAAAAATAATAAAAATAAAAGAAAATTTTAAGGGGGTCCTTAGTTTGAATAAATTTTTATTTCAATTAGTTTTTACCAGATTTTACTCAAATTTTCAAAATTAATTCTGTAACGGAAACTTTTCATTCACATTGAGTCAATTTAGCAATTTTAAAGGAGATTTCCTAGACCAAAAAATAATTATTCAAGTCGATGACCCCCAAAAAAATTTCTTCATGCCTCTTTGTGGCATGTTAATGCTGAAAATAATAATAAGAATAAGAACTTTATATTATTGAAGGTTGAAGCAAATGTAAAAGAGATGAAAAAAAGTTCTTTTTGATCCAAAATAATAAGTGAAGGCTTTAGAATCTCCAATAATATCTTAAAATTATGAATATGAGACGGTGAGGAAGAAGAAAAATTAATTAAGGCACGTAGAAAAGTGAAAAATAATTTCATAATTTTATGAATAAGAGCAAATTTATAAAAGAATTAAGGAAAAGAATTTCTTGGATTATTTCGACATCAATAAGAATATATAAAATAAAAATTAAGGTGTACATACTCAAGTAGGAGAAAAAAAAGCGATAACGACAGTAAAAGGTTAGTTAAATATTTTGCCTCTTAATTGGATTTTAATTACTTTTTTGCCTGTCCTTCTTATAAGAATTAATTTTATCAGCGAAACGTGAGAGATTAATTGAAAAAATAAATTTTGGTGCTGTAAGCAATTTTTGAGTGACTTGAACGCATTTTTAGCGCATTTTTGAAACTTGTTTCTAAAAGGTAACTTAATAATTCAGTTTGTTCGGCTGCTCGGCTGTGTCTGAAATCTCATTAACCAGACATCATAGAGAGCTCTAGTTTGTTTTGTTAGCTCAGGTCCATTGTTTTATTGGCTTTAAGATTATTTTCGAACCGTAAAACAATGAATAAGTACTATAATTAATGATTTTTTTATTTCATATGAAAAAACACGTGATGAGAGCGTTTATAAATTCAAATTTCTTTCTTCCGTTGAAAAATAATGAATCTCAAAAAACCGTTTGGTAAAAAATTATCAAATATTCAGTGGACGTTTAAAATTTGAATTTTAAAAAATTGTTGAATGACAAAACCCTTTTTAAAGAATAAATGTTGTGCTGTATTTTACTACTGAATCCATGTTAATTAGCCAATCATGTAATTTTTTCAATGAATTTTGATATTTGTCGATTGGGCTCGATTTTACAAGAACAAAGGCGTGGAACTGATCAATCACATTTTGATCAGTTCTCTACAGAAGATCTAACCTTGTCAAGGGCTAGACTAAGCAACCAACCTAAGTTGGAATCAAAGTTTGGTTATTTCCCAAAGTGTAGTTTATACATCAATGCTTGGGTATATATAATGCTTGGAAGGTTCATCCTTCTTGAACTGAATTCTTGCTTAAATTGCCCTGAATAGTCTTATAAACCAGCTTCTGAAAAAACTCATTTTGCATGAAAAATATTAAAATTTAATTTCCAAAAATCGCACTTCTCAGCACCTGCAAACTTCCAAGATAAATCCTCACTTCAATCCACCCACACCATTCGTAACCATCAAAAAGCATGTTTACATTCTTCCCAGAAGGATGATTTTTGAAGATGAATGTAAATATTTTGGGAAACTTCTTGCGGTTACAAGATACTAAGAATTGCGAACCTTAAAAAATGAAAATAAATTCTCCAGCATTTTAACAATCAAAAAATATCAAGTTTAATGATATTCCATAGCTCTACTTCTACTGTTCACTAATGAATTCTTCTGAATCAGCAAAAAACTCAGCTATAAATGAAATTGAATGAGAAAAGAGAAAAATTTATCGAACGCAATTCCTCCCATTTATTTTCACACTTTTAAGCCACTCATTCTTTCTATTTGCACTTGTTCATTAAATTACTCAGAAGCAGAGAAATGTGTTAAAAGGTACCAGGAAAGAAAAATAATTAAGAATTCCACCCTGCAAGCCTGCTTAATATTCTTGATGACTAGATAGTCATGTCTGTGTGAAAAGAATGCACACAGGGGGTCTAAGGTTTTAATAGCTTTGGTTTAAGTTAATCAATTTTTCTATAGAAATTATCAAAATACAAGATCTAGAGTCTCCTTCTAGCTACTTACCTCAAAACCAACCATTAGGGAATGAAACTGATCAACGAACTTTTTGATCGTTTTTTCCATAAAAAAAACATAATTTTTCAAATCGAGGACCCCCACTTTGTACATAGTGCCTTTTAATTTCAAATGAAATATCACTTATACAATAAGAAATACGTAGATGGAAATAAATAAATAAATAAAGAAATGTGGAACTAGAATCAAGTGAGAAAGAGAGAGAAGATAGAAATATGATGCGCTTATGTATACATGCCATTGCATTGTTAGTCTCGTACCATTATGTATTATTTATGACATTTTTGGTATTGTCCCATATTTGACTAAAAGACACACACAGTTGAGTCATATTTTGTGGCATTTCCTACGCAGTGTCAATAAAATGCAGCTTACTGCCTGTATTTTGACAGTCATGATGAAAAATTTATTTCGGTGTCGATGATGGACATTTTTTATCAATTAACAGCAGTCGGTGCTAATTTATTTAGATTAATTCTTAAAAGAAGCAACAATTCTCATTTTTTGTGCGATATTTTATTCATCCTTGATATATATCCAACTTAACAAAGGACAGACAGCATTTTTCAGATTTTTTTAAAACTGACTTTTTTTGTGGATGAGAAAAAAATGCGATGAATATTCAATTCAGAGTTGAAGAAACTGCTGGCAATGAATGATAAATAAATGCACATAATGTTCACGTGATTCTGACTTTTATGAATTATTAAGTGCGGTGCCAGAATGTTTTTGGCTACCAGAGCATGGCGAACAGGAATTTTTGCAGGCTGAATTGATATGTTGAGTCACCGGAAGATGCTCGACTCTTTTTTGAAGTGAGTTTCATGATAAAAATTTGAAATATTTCCGAACAGCAGAAATTTAAAATGTTGGGCCCACCTTCCAGCATTCGTCTAGTAAAAGTCCACAACTCTGCTTTACTTCATTCCAGCATAAATCACACAAAAATAATGTCGGTTTTTTTTTTCAAAAATTAAAACGTGAATAATCATGACTTTCACTACAAGTTTGTTGTCCCTTATTGTTTAAAACTATGTCACATAAAAATTGTGGTTAAAAATGTTTAATTAAATTATAATAATTTTGTTAAATGCAGCATTTTTTTGACAAACACAAAAAGTTTATGGAATTGAAAGTTTTTAGCTTAATTAAAGACAAATGCTGTATTGTGTTTTTTATAACAAAATTTTTTTGGTTTGTTTAAACCACATAAATTAAAGAAAAATTGAAATTAATCTGTATGTGTTCATGTGTCAGACAATATGTAGCTTTTTTTGTGATTTTATTGTTTTTAATACAATTTTTAATTTATTTTGTAACATAAATTAGCAAAATTTACTGTTCTGTATTGTAAATGAAATTGGAAAAGTTAAATTGGGCTTGAAAATAAATTATTTTAAGCTCAATAAAGCTCGACTTTTGTTTGAAGCCAGAGTATATAACCCCCCTCGTCCAACCTCTTAACTACTCTAGTGCTAATAAGAGGATCTATTCTTTAATGGTACGACACAGGTATTAGCTTTTTATGCTAGGTTCCATATCAGGGTATTCAATCTTTTTGAGTTGCAGGAACTGCTTCTCAAATTAGAACAGAATCTATTGTACCACACCCTTAAGACATACAGTTTATAGTGGAATCCAAACCACTTGCAAGCTCTGCACATTTCAAAGACACGAGTACGTCTGAATACCTGATTTACCCTGCAATGTACCTAGTCCCAATTCGTATGCGTAAGATCCTGTAATAAAATCATCCAGATGCTATTCAATCCTTCTATACCTAGTAAAGGAGACACACCTAACACACGAACCGAGCTTCCTGACTAGAACGGTGAAAATGTAAAAATTGCTTCTAAAACTTGGCCTGGGATTGAACCCAGAACCTGTGGATCAATTAGATTCGGGTTAATTCGATTTGAGTTTAGCACCATGCTAGAGTCACGTTGGCTTGGTACCGGATTTCTATTCGAATATCCGACTTGTGCTATTCGGTTGAAGTATGAATAGCATATCCTATATTAGGTAATACTGCCTTACTAAAATTATTTTTATTATCACTGGCGTCACCTAAACCTAAAAACATCTCAAAAATTCACACCTCTATTAACTACATGTCTGCCACAAATATTCCTAAATTTCTCATACACCAATTTGAGTTTGTAATTTTTCATAAACATTCCCAATAAAATAATAAATTTGTATAATTTATAATTATGCATAACTAATTGAATTCACTTAAAGAAATTACATGCAATTTAATTTCCCTCCATTTGAATCATCTTCACCTTAAAATTTTACTCACATGGCAACCTATCATTATTTGCATAAATCAATTAAGATAATCATGAATCCATGGCTGTTTAAATTACTCCAATGTTGCGAAAAACAAAAATCCGTGATATACTTGATGCAAAATTAATGGCTTTCAATATGTTTTTTTTTTTTTGCTTAAATATTCAATGAATCTCACGACTTTATTTGCCGAAAAAACATTTTTTTTTTTTGCTTTAAATGAGTCATTCAACATTGTTACAGATCTGGTTTGAGATTCGTAAATGCACAATTGAAAAAAAAATTTCATTACTATAAGGTCAAATTTCAGAGAACCGTTTAAGCCTTGAAAAAATTCCATTAAAATGTTGCTATGCTTCCAATTGAAATGCTTTTACTGAGCTGCATATTCAGACCACATATGATTTTTTAGCTATAGCATGTAAATATGATTTGAATTTGAATTTGAATTTTATTCATTATTTCATTGTTTTCCTTCGTCCATGGAAAAAGCTCCCTAAAACAGTACTTAAACTGTTTGAAGGAGCGCAAAAAACCTTGGAGGAATTACAATTGAATGAATGTATTTGTTGACCCATTCGGGTAGTAAACTTAACTTTAAAGACATAAATCGATAATTGAAAAAAAAAAAAAAAATGTCAAGTTAAATAATTAATTAATAATATTCGAGAAAATTAAGGAACGTTTATAGTTGAAACTGTATATGAAATGATAGGAATGAGAAAAAAAAAATGTACGTACGCGCACATCAATGTTTAAATCAATTTAAAATTGCTGTAAAATTAACAAGAAAAATTCTATATAAAAAAACAAAAAAAAAAAAAAAAGAAATAACTGTTATCAAAATTTCAAATAAGTTAGGCCAGTTTCGCATCAATCTAGCTTCCTTTCAAGCAAATATGTTGTTGGTGTCTAGTTGATTACCCCTCAAGAACGATTGTTTATGTTCAGACAGGTGAGTTTTTAGCTTATTTTTAAATGCATAATAGCTCTTAATCTCTCGTATTTTTAGAGGCAACTGATTATAGATAGCTGGACCTAAGCACGAAAAGTCTTTTGCCAGCACTCGCTTGTTATATCGCCCAAATTTCAATTGGAACTTTCGACGACCATCCTGAATCTCACAAAAGTCTTCATTCATCTCATTTTTGAAC